AAAGGTGTATGTAGCATGAGATGAACTTAGTTACGGGGTTGGCCCAACAGTATAGAAAAAAGAGTTTTTTGGAAGCCGGCACACATAATTAGACTTATTTGGCAAAAAATACATAAAACAAAATATTTTTAAAAAAAAATACACAGCTAAGATACAAAGATGTAAATGCCAATTTTAGGGTCATTTAATTCAAAATCTCTTACCTTTATTGCACCTTGATTCATGTGTGTTTGTTAAATGCACATTGATTCATGTTTGTTGTTAATACGGATATATATACGTTTTTATATATACATGTATTAAAGTTCTCTTATAAAACTATGAGATATTTAATGTACTATTTTCCAAAAAAAAAAACACATGGATTAATGGAGGGCAAAAATGTCACAAAAAAATCAGTAAAATTCAAATAATGTGCTTAAATACAAATAAATATAAAAATTAAAGACTTAATTACCCAACATTTTTTCTTGTGTATTTTTTTTACAATTAAATCTAATTTGGTGTACCTCCTTCCAATTTTTCCAACGGAAAACGGTATGGGCTTTAAGCCTCAAATTTTTATAGAGGGCCCCATAATTTTAAATAATCACTAGTCCACAAAAAAATTAAATTTATTAAATTTTAAGTGGTACAAGAAAGTCTCAAAAAATTAAATTCAATCAAAATTCTTATTGCAATAATTTGGGCTTATAATTCAATACATAACATTAAAAACTTAGAAATTTTTTTAAAAAAATACTCAAAAATCAACATATATTCAACATATATTTACTCTCACCCTCTCTCTCTCTCTCTCTTTCTCTCTCACCCCATTATAAAATAAATAAAAATTAAAATTAAACACTTTCTCTTTCTCTACGGTAAAAACAAAAACAAAAGTTGAAATATCTTTCTCCATAACATTAACATATCTTTTTTTTGTCTCTGTCTCACATAGAAAATTAAAAATAAATTATTTTTTTTTAAAATAATACTATAAATAAAAAGACATTCATTTAATATTTTTGCTTCATGCCTTAAATTGACTTGAGTCAATTGCTTAGTTACTACTACGTGGGTGTAAAAATGTAAACTAATAACAAATTAAATAAATATTTATGGAAAAAAAAAAAGTCACACCCATAATATATAGTTATGGGGATGAGCACACCAATTCGTGATTGTAATGGAGTCAAACAATACGTTTTTTCTTTGAACGGTGAAGTCAAAAAATAGTTTTTTTTAAAAAGAAATAGCAATAATAGTTGAGAAGCTTGAAAGTTGCAAGTTTTATGCACATAAAGTCCAGGAGTTTTGGTGGGGAGTGATAAATTTTGACACCACAGAGTAACAAGTCAATTCTGCCATACAGTAGCAAATCAATAATACAACAAAAAAAATTAGTGGGTAAGAATTTACTCATTCTCTGCAAAAACCAAACATACCACGTTTTTTCATTAGTGTCAAACATAATTTGACATGGCAAATACACTTGGCTAGTTAGTATACGTCGAAGAAAACTTTTGATGTTTTCAATTCTTTATTTTTATTGTTTTTTTTAATCTAATATTATTATACAAATCAGTGTATAATTTGACATGATTTAGCTCATTTGCTAGCATTTGGTTTGGTTGGAGCTTTTACTATGGCGAGTGTTTTGGTTGAGTTGAGCTAGAAGCCAGCATAATTAAGGAGTTCTTATTTGTCTATTATGTGTTAAACTTGAACAGAACTCAATTAATAAACAAGTTGAATAAGTTTTTCGATCATTTTTACATAATTATTTGAACAATTCGTGCTATAGATCGGTAGACTAGTATTTGACACGAACATAAAATTAAATTTTTGAACATGATAATACCACTTCAATAATATTTCTCGTAAAAGCCCCCAAACTGGCATGATAAGATAGATGCTTTAAAATATTACACAATATAAATCCCTAATGTTAAAAATTATTATATTTCCCTGATCATTAAAGTTGTTGGGATAGAGCATACCTTACTTTAGAAGTTGCAGCTTATATAAAATTGATACCAAGAACATTGTGGGGGCACCAAGAAATTGAGTGATCAGTATAGTGCAAGGAATTTATATTTACCAAAAACCAATCTTATATGTACAAAGAGCTATTGTACAACACTGTGATTTTTATGTTGAAACACCAACAAATACCAATATAAAGCCAAAAAAAAACCTATAAAACACGCGAGGTTGTATGGTTGAGCTTAAACGCTTACGTACACAAACGAATGACAATACAAAAGTTTTGTATTTAATATACAACGATCGTATTAGCCTTCAGAAAACAATCAAAAAAATATAATTGAGCTTGCTTAATTTGGCTGTAAAATTCATCCAATAATACCATATATCAATGATCATGTTAGAAAGTTAAAAAAAATATCGAATTAATTAACGAGGTAGTCACACTTTATATTTAAATATAAGAAAAAATAAATTCATATTCAATTGACTTGTGTCAACTTTTTCATAATAACAATAAAACTCACTAAGAACTCCCGATCTCGAATATATTAGTTTCACACTTTTTTCTTTTAGTTTGTTTTCTAATGAATGGGATACAAAGAACATATAAGTAGTAATTGATACAAATTATAAATTTAAAAATTTTGAATTTGAATTTTGACAACTCTTTATGATCAGATATCATAATAATTTATTCTTCGTAAATATCCTAATTTTATCGTAATTGACCTGCTTTTATTTAGACTGAAAAAAAGATTAATCAAGATGCGTATTAATTGATCCAGACAAACTTTATCCGTTGAACACTGACTTTTAGAATTGGGTTTTAATTATCGTTTTCACAAGAAAAGCATTGTATTCTATTCAACGTTCCAACAAAACTCATTACAAGCTACGCAATGTAATACCCCCGAATTTCAATTTATTCTCTTTAATCTTTATAGAATTATCCGAATATGCGATATATTAAAACCCGATTGTAATCACGAGAAAAAGCGAGACGATACATACCGAATACGATACGATAAATTGTTGTGAAACTTTCGAGTGTCGCATTTGATAAGACCGATCAAGCTTGAATCCAGCTGGCACCAAACGGTGCACTAGATCCGAACCTTCTTGGGGGAGGGGCCCCACTTCACGTGCCCACACGCTTTCACCGTTTCCAGGAGACCATATGCGACCACGTGGCAAGGGACCTCCTCCATCATACGCGTGTAGTGATAATCGAACGGCTCAGTTTTTGGGGGACCCAGAAACCAGGTGAATCCTCTCTCAAAACCTCTCGTAAAGAGACAAATTCATCTTCCCGAAATACCTCCATCCTCTTTTATCTTTTTGGAAAATTACATATATAGCCCTGCCTAGTGCACCTCCCTTTCTCCCCTCTCCCTTTTTCTTTTTTTTTTTTAAAAAGTTTGTTTTTGGTTTATTTTTATTAAAAAAAATTATAAATTTTGTACGATGTAGATGAGAAGATAATCCGTCACAACTAAAAGATTATCAAATCAAAATTAGGGTTGAAATGAGATAACCACAGAAATTATCAAGTTTTACAGTTAATTGGATAGAAAAGTTAGTTGGTTGATCTTCAAACAGTTGCGAGTGAAATCTAACCTACCCAACCCGGATAAGAGCTACCTTAGGTATCTCAATTCTCAAATTTGGATTTTTAAACAGTATCTCTACTCAATATACATTTTAAAGGACATGTTCTAATCCAATTCAAGTCATAAAATTTTTAAAAAATGGTCGACGCAAGTTTAAACATTCTGTAACAACACATTAATAAAAAATTTTAGATATGCGCGTCGTGTTAACCTTTTCAATGAAATTCACTCATCTAATAATCCCTATTCATAAATATTGGGTGTAATGATTGTACCATATTATTATTATTATTATTATTATTATTATTATTATTGTTTGTTTTAAATGTCACTATTATTATATGATGTAACCGTTCAATAAAAAATATATAAAATGAACTCTATTATCTTACATAGAGGTAGTTATATATTCACCAATAAATCTTTGGTCTAATTGTACTCCTTATCTTGAGAAGACTTTACTTTATTGAAATCAAGGGTTCGAGTCTCCTTTCCCTTCCCCCTCGCCCTCTCCCTCCCAAAAAAAAATATATATATTTACAAAAAAAAAAAAAGTTACATATTTCATAAATGTGTAGTTGATTAATTTTGTGAGACTCATTTACTTATTTGTTCAAATAAACAATTACGCTACATTATAAGTAGGGGTGTCAATCGTGTCGTGTCGTATCAGTTTCGTGTCGTGTTATTTTTATGCCGTATCACTTTCGGTACGTGTCGGATTCGTGTTAATAAAAAATTATTTAATTTGACTACAACTAATATAATATTATTTAAAAAATTATAAAAAAAAAATTCTATCTACAATACTTATTAAATAATTATTTTCTATCTACTGTACTCATTAATCGTGTTATTAGTGTCAAACTTTAATTTGACTAATTTTTTACTCGTATCAATTAATCGTGTTATTTTCGAATTTATGTCGAGTTCAATTTGAATCGGATTCGTGTTCAAATTAAAAATTGACACCCCTAATTATAAGTGCAGTCCAATAGATCTCAAATTATATCCCAAATTAATATAAATTTTTGGATCAATAGGTGTCGTTAATCTTTTTAATTGGACCCATTTATGGAAGTGTCATACTAATTTACCATTCTATAGTAACTTAACCTGAATGATTGGTCATGGGCAAAGTGGGCCCATGATTGGATAAATGATCGGGGGCATTATAGTAATTTAACAAAAACGAAGTTGCAGAGAAAATAAAGAAAAGAGAAAAGAGATTAGACAGTTGAAAAGATGGGCTTTGGGAGGAGAGAGAGAGAACCTTATCCATTAGAAAAGCTTTATAAAAGCAGATCAAAACCTTCATGCAAATGACCAAACCAGAGAGGCAATTCGGGGGGGAGAGGGAGATGTATAGACGCATACGTACACAGAACTGAGCAACGATCAACCTTGAATTAGCCTTCAATGGCGGCTTCAAAGACCTACAACACGAGAACAAACTACCGATCCCTGTCGAGCGACCGAGACGCTCGAATGGCGTCGGAATCGTCCGAGTTCGAGTTTGACGAGTCGGATGTCTGGAACACGGCTAGGTCCGCTACGCCGGACTTTCGTAACCAGGCGACGAATGCTAGGCTCTCGAAGAAAACGTCTGCGAGAAGAGTTGACTCTGTTGAACGTGCAAGCGCCGGTATGACTCCGGCGTCTTTTCCGGTGAACATACCGGACTGGTCGAAGATACTGAAGGAGGACTGTAGAGACAACCAGAGGAGAGAGAATGACGATAACTTCGGTGAGGAGGATGGTGAGGACGGGGAGAATCGGATTCCGCCGCACGAGTTTTTGGCGAGGCAGTTTGCCAGGACGAGGATCGCCTCGTACTCGTTGCATGAAGGGATTGGGAGGACTCTCAAAGGAAGGGATTTGAGTAGGGTGAGAAATGCAATTTGGGAGAAAATTGGGTTCCAAGATTAACAAAAAACCGAGAGAAAATCCATTATTACTAATCATATGCAGTGAGTGACTCTTTTTTTTTTTTTTTCAAAGTTTTCCTTGTTTTATTTTAATTTTTTTCCAGTTTTGTTTGCCTCTTTTTTAATCGTAACTTCTTGTGACGAATCGGTTTATTAATGCAAGTAATGATACAGAAATTTTGGATTGTATTATGATTTTCATTTCTGTGTCTATGCACTGTGGTGTTTTTGTGAGTTCTTTGTTTATTAATTATTATTATTTATATATTTTGGAAGTCTGAAAGGGTAATAGGGCCTCCCCAGGAAAAAAAAAATATTATTTTTTTGAGATTAACGTTGCTTCGATTGTTCAAACTTGTTACCATCCTCCTTTAATAGTGTGGGGAAAAAAAGAAGTCTGATTGCTTCTTCCATGGTTCAAATGGGAAGAGCGGTTTAGGAATCTGGGTGGGTTTGGATGAATGATTGGTAGGGTTAGACTTTAATGTGGCGGGGTTGATAAGAAAAAGCAGGGTCTATACTCAAAATCAGTCATGACCATTGAAAAGAGCTCTCTGGTTCCAAATGCAACTTTATCCTAATATTCTCTTTTGGCTTGTAATTTGAAATCTTAAATGGGATTAAATCGTTTACGGCAAGCCTCCGAATAATCTTTTAGATAAAATTAAGTGTTATATAAACACATAAATTAATATTGAATTTATGTAATTTTTTAATTTTGATTGACCGTCCCTAAAAAATATATTTTCATCTTAAACCATGCATTTAGTAATGGGTCTTGCTATTTGGTTTTTTTTTTTTGTTTAATAATTACATGTGTTTAGGCCAGTTTATATATATTTTAATTGATCTTATCCTTGGTCCAATTAAAAAAAATCATTTATACTAAAATTAAGGGATATACTAATATTTATATTTTTCGTAATTTGACTTAATATAATAATAAATATTCGAACTTAAGACATTTAAATTTATAGTTCATCTCTAATAACACTCAAACAACCATTTAATGTTGTCCAACTTCCCACTCTACCTACCAGCGTTGACTTTGAATTGTGTAATTAATGGGCTGGGTTATGTTGGATTCAAATCACATTATTGTTTATATATAAGTTCATTTCTAATTGAGATCTAAAACCTTTACGTGAATTTGAGTTAAAAAAAATATAAAAAATCTTAATTTGATATGGACTTTTCTAATGAAAAAAATCCAAATTTAAGAGAGCAGAAATTTTTTTTTAAAGAAGAACAAACTCAAATTTAAAATATGGTAAATATGATAATTAGATCTTTAAATAAGGATATAATTTTATCATTGGTGGAAAAAGTAAGGATTTGAATCTCCCTCAATTTGAATTTAAAAATAAATTTTCTTTCCTTTAGTATAAGTATGAGTATAGTATTGAAAAAATATTTTAAGAGTTTTTTTATCTTTTTTTTTTTAAAAAAAGGGGTACAAAAAAAAGTGTATCAATGTTTTAATTAGACTTATATTAGGCTGATTTCTTTAACAAGTCTAACCGTTCAACTGGGTCAGTTCTGTGTCAGCAATGTCTAAGAATCACCAAAACTAATTTTGAATGCATAAACCCAATTCCAGTACTCTGATCAATTTCAAAAAAAAAATTAGGCCCTAATTTAAAATTTCTGATAAATTTAACATTATTTAAAACTTGCTCCCATTGAAATTTTTTAAATAATTAATCTGTTGTATTTAAAATTGTATTGTTATATTTTGAAATTACTTGTTATGTTTTGGATGAATGTAGCTCGGTTGATTCTACTTAAACAATTTGCTTGTCTTAGATTAAATTATTGTTATATCTAGGTTTGTTTTAATGGGCCTATGTGATAGATTTAATTCTTATTAAATTTGCTATGATTGTTCTGAATATTTATAGTCCTTGACAACCCATTGTTGAAATGTTTAGTGTGAGTCGTACTAAACAAATCAATTGTTAAATAAGTCGTGGATAAATTCGTTAATAAAAAAAATAATATTAGAAAAAAATAATGTTAGCATTTTTATTTTATCATGTCATTACTAAATTTTAATGGTTGAGTCTGATGTTTGGTAACCTAGATATTTCTTATTCCTTTATGGACATGCTCAAACCTAGCTCAAGTTATGGTGACCAACTGTCGACTTTGAGGGAATAATAGGCGTAATCCTAGACACTTTGGTGACTAACTACTGAGCTTAAGAAAATAGTCGGCGTAAATCTTGATACTCTGTAACTAAAAAAAAAAAACAAGTGATAGAATCCTAGTAAAAAATTTAATAGTTGTATTCACAATAATTTTATTAGACCATGTTTATAACATCAATTTTTAAAATCCTAATAATATTACTTGATGTTATAATTTATGTGATTCTCTAGCAGAACTCAGGAAGGAAATGGATTAAAGATTTAATAGGGATAATAAAGGGCATTTATTGGGACGTTCAGACAAAGCTACCAGAATCATAGTGGTGAATAGTCAATCACAGAGACAACAACCATCAATAGAAATCGATAGACATGAGATTTATTGCGGTTCAACAGTTCAAAAGCTTGATTAATCCTCTATAATAGAATGTCTAACTCCTAAAGGGGGGGGAGGGGGTTTGCTATTATTTAGGAGGTTTGCTATTATTTAGGGAAGAAGATTACAAAGGTACAAAGAGTCTACTTTCAAATCTTCTATCTTTTAAAAAGCGGGGGATCAGTCCCTATTTATAGTGTGTAAGAGTTTTGTCTAATCATTGTGATCCCTGTGTAGCCGTCATGATCCTTGCGTAGCAGTCATGATCCTTACGTAACAGTCATGATCCTTGTGTAATCAGTGTGATTCTCTTGAGACTATTATGTCTCATGTATCAAAATATTTAATTGTTAGAGACTACATTTTCTAGGTATGACATGGCCTTTTAAAATATGACAGCTATCAATGTGATCATGTGCACGAGAGTCGCTTTGATGATGATTCCTAATCTGTTCCTATAAGGTGGGAGACCTGAGTTAGGAGTTCCGAGCCAGAAGACCTAAGGTAGAAGACTTGAACTAAGAGATCTGAGCTAAAAGATCCGAGCTAAAAGACTTGAGGAGAAAGGAATTGAGAGCTCAATTCATTCACCCGATATTAGTTGTCTTGAATAGGAACTCATATTCTGGCGTTATCATGTAGACCCTTTATTGAGGGGCATGTCTCCAAGCTGCTTTTTTGGCTTAGCTTAACTTTAAAAAAAATTTAGTATCATCATTACTGGTTTGAATTTCATCCTAAATAAACCCATCTAAAAAGAAAATAGAAAATGCATAGCATCCGAAACAATAAATCTATATCTGCTTTAAAATATTAAAATACTTGAAAAATATTTTTTTTCAATTTTATCCTTCAAAAATATAATTATTTAGTCCATATCCTTCATATTTAATGTCAATCAAACCCTAATTCCACTTACTTCATAATCCCAGCTGCCTTTCTCCCACCTTTCATTCTCCGGCCATTTCTCTCTCTCTCTCTCTCTCCCCCCCCCCCCCCCCGGCGATGACTCCCACCTGTCTCTCTGCCTCTCCGCCTCTCTCTCTCTCTCTCTTTCTCTCTCTCTCTCTATCTTAAACAACTCCCACCCATCTCTCATAAACCTAATTGTGTTAATTAGGGAATTACACCTACCGTTATAGTACTTGCCTTAAACTCCAACACCGGCTAGAATTAACGTCACCCCTTCATTTCCCTATTTTTCTCAATAGATTTTCTAAGCCTTCATCTCTCATCTTTTGGCTGTTCAGATTCCAAACATTAATGGTAGCAGCAACGGCCACTTCAGTTACTAATGTATCTCACAAATTGAGACCCAATGGTGTTATTTTCCACTAGTTTCTACATCTTCCTTCTGCTCCCTTGCCCTCTCAAATGCAAACACACTATTGTAGAACTCACAAAGCTTCGTTTCTTCTTCAACAGGCACTTCGTTTCTCTTTTCTTATAGTATTTCTGTTTTTCTATTCCTTTTTGGCTGATGATTGATTGACAAAATCTGGTGAAAATCTGTATGTCCCTTACTAACTAAAGGGCGATTTTGATTTTTGATTTTCTTTTTTTCCGGTAAGTAACTGAAGTAAGAATTTGTTATGAACTATCACACCTGAAGAGCGTCTATAATTTTACAATAAGAAGGGCTTCATTGAAAATTTAAGAAACTAGGAAGGTTGTCAGTCAATATTTTAAGTTTTGCTTGCTTTATGATAGGTTGAAGTTTTACCAAATTATGTCAATTAAATGTTGTTCAAGTCAATTTGATTTATACATTTGGAATTTGTCGATTATGTATGCCATTTGGATTATAGGATTCCAGTGGATAGGACCATGTGATGGGTTAAATTGTTCATATATCGAAGTCTGGTTCAATAGACTTGTGATAATTTTATTTTTTTTAATTCATATCTTTTAAATTTGTTCTATTTATATTGAATATTTGTGATCCTTACAACTCGTATGTTAATGACGAGTGCTAAATTTGAGTATGAGTAAACAAATTAGTTGTTGAATTTGGTTACTTCTAAATTTTTTAAAAGAAAATTAACATTGAAACAAAAATGTTAGGATTATAATTTTGAGTTATCATTGAATTTTGGGAAAAAAATACCCGGTTCATTTACTTGCTTTCCAAATCCCATTATTTTTTTTCAGTATTCCACAAAGAAGCAGGGTTGTGTTTTAACTGGTATAAGTATGTATGTAATTTATATACATTGGTTCTAAACCATCGGAACACTTGTTGATGCACAAATTGATTTTATACACCACCTGTAAAGTAAGTAATGTAGTAAGTAAATAAAGAGAGTCAACACAAGCAAAACATAATTTAAGTGGTTCGGTCAATGTGATCTACTCCACTATAAAAGGCTAGGATGACCTGGATGTTTTATTACTTTAAAGAGTGTTGGATGTTCAAGTATGAGTAATAGGTGAGATACAAGATGTGAGAGATGCCGACTTACAATTTATAGGCGTCTCTTAACAAATTGAGGCGTCTTATCAGTAACAGAAAAATTGATTTTGTGGAATGAGTGACATCCTCGCAACAGATGAGGTAGTTGAAGAGAGGGCGTGGAGATCTCCTCAAGATCTAGTCCCAAGATGGCATGACAGACCTCCTCACTCTAGGATGGCATAGATGAGACTCTCTCATGGAGTTGCTGATTACTTGATTTTAAGATGACGTGACTCTTGAAACTTTGGTGAGTCTAATAAAATCTGGGTCTCTTCCGAGCCAAATCCATTGAGATTTGTTTGGGCCGGGCTTATTATTTGAGTTGGCCTGGTTTGGGTTGGAACTTTTATCTGAGTTGGGCCTTGGGCCGGGCCCATCAACACTGATAGCTTGGGATACTGCTCAAAATTAATTTAGTGAATATGTTGCTTTTTTGGCACGTTTCCAACAATCGTTGGAGAATGAAAAACCATTTTTTTGTGTTTACAAACTACCACGTGTGTGTGGTAGTGGGGGAAGAAGGTAATGATGGTGGAGGTATAAGATACCGAATGAATCATTTGATGCCAGAGTTGTCAATGAAGTTTGTATATTTTGAATTGACTTGTTTAGATCGGTGTTTGACCGAAGAAGCGATTTAAGATTTAATATTGTTTATATTTATATTTAATATGTGCAAGAATATATGACTATTATGATAATATATTTGTATTTAAATGACTATTATGTCTCTTAACTAATTTAATCCAAACATGGATATAAATATATAGAGGAAATAAATATCATTTGAACGTGAAACATCCAAACCACATATAAAACCCACTCCCCCCATGAGTTTCATGAAACTCATGAACAAATATTTTATGATCGGGCCGGATTTCAAACCCTAGGCTAAATTTATATTTACCAGACATGGGTTTAAGGGGATTTAGTCCTCAATCTATATTCCAAAACTCTCTCAAACCCACATACCAAGTCCCTAATAGTTTTCGCAATCTCTTTTTGCACCCATTCACTTAAAAAGGAGGAGGATGTGATTTAGTTGTATGTAATGTAGGTACCTAAACTTGTCTTGGCACAAATGCACTTTGTTTATCGATAATGATATTATACACCATGCCTTCTGTAGATGTGGTTAAAACTAAGATAAATAACCTTGAGGTTGCAATTAAAAAAAAAATCACCATATAATTAATCGACACGTTCATTATACTGTTTGACCAAATGATTTGTCGCTTACACGGTGAACAAAATTTTAATATTAAATGAATAAAGGTAAAACTAAAAATACCACCTTTTTAATACTATATATTATTTAGTTTCTATTTTTGGCCGAATTTTTGATTACTCAAATATTACCATGATTAATTAAAGAGTAATGCTATTTGGATCTAAAAATCTGACTTAATTTGCTGACATAATGATGTAATTTTATAAAAATCATTGAATCAACACCAAGTTCTAAAATTTAATAGGTCTACAATCAATACAAGGATCACAGTGAATTAGGTTAATAAATTATATTATATCCACTAATTCAATGTGCATGCACCAAATATCAACAAAAGAATAAATTTTTTGTTTGACTATAATAATTTTAATAAAATAATTAATACAAATATTATCCTTTTTAAGCTATAATAACAACATTGATGGCATTTATAATTGTGGTTGTCATGTAGGCTATGAAATTATTGACTGTTGGGTTACACATTCAAAATAGAGCAATGTTAAATGAACTTAAAAAATAGACTTAAAAATTAGACTTGATAATCTCAACCATTGAATTCACTGTGAGTCTCAGCATTTATTGGGTCTCACTACCTATTCAATAATTAAAATTATCAAGTCTAATTTTTAAATCCATCTAACATTACTCTTCAAAATATCATCTACAATTTATTATCAAGACATACGTCTTCCTTATTATTTAAAAAGCAAAAGCCCTTGCGTATCCTATTTATCTTTGATTAAAAGTTTAATATCAATCTTAAAGCTAAAGCTAATAATATCATTCAACCATAATAAATTTTTATTTAATGGTAGAATCTTTCGTATTCCTGGACCTATTATAAAAAATAAGAAATATTTCATTGTATTAGTTACGAAGAAGAAAAGACTCATATACTCATTCATGCATTAGACCCTACTGATTTACTAATTCTATTAATAAATTTTCGGTGTATGTAATGAAGTGGATCTTGATTCAGTTCATCTCTTCCGATTAAATTTCTTCTTTCTTGGTTGCTATCTTATTTGATTTGTCCTTTTTTTTTTTGGTTTTAGCAGCGGTGACGACACTAGACATGGATAACTCCGAATAGAGCATCACATATCAACGTGTGATTTGACTTGACTAATAGACAAGGTTGGAAAAGCTAGCATCGTTGAAACACAGTAAAATCTGACATGGCTTCATTTGGCTTCCATGTGCCCTTTAAAGTTCTTTCCGATGAAACTTTTGTATATTACTACTCCAACACTGCTCTTTCCAATAACTTACTATTGTTGTTCATTTCTCCGTATTGCAGATAAAGAAAAGACTTTGATCAATCAAGGTTTGGAACTTTCGAATGTTTTCAGAAGTCATTGGCCAATCATATATAGAGAAACACGAAATCTAATCAAGCTTTTCCGACGACAATGGCCCCTTCGATTTCTTTTCTTTTCTTTTCTTTTTCTACCAATCAAGCACAACGAATATCTGGTATTCTTCACCTGAAATTGCTGCTTCCATGACCATCTAATTCTTAGCCACATGCGTGGCATTTGAGTCTCTTACATTCCAAAAAACAATCTCCGGCACACACGACCCATAACGTCTCTCTCTAAATTTCCTTGTTATCGCCTGGTCATCTGTCTCCCAATCATTTGCGGAGGCCTGATCGAACTCCATGTCGCTGAACACAAAAACCCTCTTGATCATTTGCTCCTCCTTCAAGTTCCCATTCACAACCACTTGTAAAATCAAGTCAATTACCCTCTTGAAAATCTGTGTTTATCACCCAGTCCATGTGTTCGACGAATTGCGTCTTTGAGCGTAAATCGTCCTGAGCTCTGGGTTTGGGCTAAATGTAATAAGCTTCCCTTTCCATGGCTCGTCACTCAATTCGGAGACTAATATTCCAAGAGCCACAGACACCTCCATTGGAGTACCACACATAGATCCCGAAACATCGCAAATTGCAAGACAATTCTTCAACTTCCCTTTCTTGGCCAAGTCACTCACCATTCTCTTCCACTGAAGCTCGGCCACTTCGTTTCCATTGTCATCATGCAATATTAAGGCTATAATCAGATGCGACAACAAAGCACCCGCCGCAACCTTCGCCTTCCCGGCCCGCACTGATTCAAGGTAGTCCTCAAATCTCTCTCTCTCACGAGTCAGAAATTTGGCACTGTACATTTGCATAGCAACCGAGGCAACTCGGTTGTATGATGCCGAACACAATACGCATAACGAGTGTAAGGGGTAGAACCCTCTACTAAGGATTTCGGCCTGACGTGGGTTAACCCACGCGGGCGACCCCCCAGTAGTCTTTACCTCTCTTCGCCAATAGGACCATTTCCTAAGGCAATCCCACATCGGAAGAGAGTCGTCTTCCCCCCTCGCATATAAGCCCTTGCACTCAAAGGAGGAGGTACCCACTAGCGACCTGATCAGGTGCCTAGTGGGTACCTCCTCCTTTGAGTGCAAGGGCTTATATGCGAGGGGGGAAGATGACTCTCTTCCGATGTGGGATTACCTTAGGAAAGGGTCCTATTGGCGAAGAGAGGTAAAGGCTACTGGGAGGTCGCCCGCGTGGGTTAACCCAGGTCAGGCCGAAATCCTTAGTAGAGGGTTCTACCCCTTACAATGAGCATCCTCAAGTCGTTCATATTCTGGGTACAATTCGTGAGCAAATACTTTCCTTGCAATGCTTTCTCAGGTAAGGGTTGATCGGTCGAAGGAAGAGTCCGGTGAAGGACACCATTTCGTAGCAAGGCTAATATTCTTCAATGACCCAGAATCCAAGTTCTGAATATCGGTGTTGAGAAAATCCGCAAAAAGGTCTGAAACACGATCATGCAAGAACTTGTAACCTGGGTCTCGATGGTATCGTTCGACTGCCTTGTTCGCCATGTCAATCTTCTTCTCTTTCCTCTCCTTCCTCGATAACGGACTTCTTTCCTTAACCCACCCTTGTCGCCTCCAAAACATGCCTGCTCTAGGAGGTTTCATTTCTTCCCTCTCTTACTTCGTTATTGTTCGAACATCGCGTCCTTCGACAAGCTGGGAAAGAATCTCCATCAAGTCTTTGAAGTACCCAAAAACGACCAATGAATCCACGTTGCATGCTAGGGTTTTGGGATGGTGTTTGTGAAGCCAAAGGGCAGCGGTGTAATACCCTCCTCTGTCAGATTTTTCGGTGCCTCTAACCCCAGGGAGGTTACATACAAATTTGAGGGTGGTAAGCGGGTTATGGTCCCTTGAAAATTGGAGGCGTTGTGTTAGGGTTGTGTTAGGGTTACCGCGGGGGAGAGTGTCAGGGACGACATGTAAGAAGAAGTCTAGGGTTGTCCTGTGGAGTGGAGAGGAAGAGCAATGCTATTAGGACATAATTTATGGATATAATTTAAAGATATAATTAGTTGTCACCAATAAAATGATGATGAATTCATTTAATGTTACAATGAGACCCATTTTTAAATATATTTTACTATTATTTCATTGGTGACAACTCATTATGTCTCCAAATTATGCCCATAAATTATATTTCAATAGCATTAGTGGGAGAGGAATGTTGGTGAGCAATTTTCGGTGTAGCCCATTGGTGGGTTTTTATGGAGAAAGGTGTTGTTGAAGTTTGCTACCATTAGATCCATGAATTTGTCAGTGGTGGTGGTCGTGGTGTTGGAGGTATTGGAAGGGGGCTTTTTATTCATAAAGCTCCGGTGGGCCGAGGAGGGTGGAGGATGGAGCCATTGCAAGAGGAAGAATTGAAAGGATTCGAGGAGCATGAGGTAAAAGTCTCATCTATGGTTAGGTCCGGAGAGAGTAATAAACACTTTTGACCGTAAAGTTCAATCCAATTGATCCCATCTTCTATCAAAATTTTGTTACCATAATGAAAATGGCCCCTGAAAAAATTAGCATATCAATAATGATGTGGTATTACTATTGCATTAGATATTAGTATTAATTGAGATACAAAACAAAAAAAAATATTAATTAAGAAAAATTTAGACCGTCTAATTATTTTGAGGATCAATGTTATGGGTATAAAAAATTCGCATAAAATTTGTGCACTAAATGGATGTGAGTTGTTGGATGACAGTGAGGCCCACTAATCCGACGGCCCACATCGGATTTGATACAAAATTTTGGTGTATATAATATTTCCCTGTTTCGAGAGAAATAGTTAACTGGTGGTTCTATTCAATGTTTGGGCATAGTAGTAATTTTATTTCTGAGAAAGACTATTCAACCCTACTTTTTGGTTTAAGGCACGTTAGGGAAGAAGACAGATCTCCTATTTTACCGGCAGAGTCACAAATTACAACCAAACAAGGCCGTAGTTGTTAAGCCCAAACCTAGGCCCACAATTTGATCACTCTTGATGTCAGCACTTTCTGGACCAACTCTACGGAAGCCCAAGATCGAACTGTCACAACCCTATAAAAATAGAACGCAAAATTATGAGGAATATCTTTTAAACTACCTGATTATGAGAAAATATCTGGACTAAAATTTTTTGTAGATAAATATTTTTGGATGGGACTATTTTCACTCCACAAATCTACATTCCCCACCCCATTTAATTTATTATTCTCAAACTACTAAATCTACTCTTTATATACTCACCCCATTGGTAACTAACTAAGTCCACCACGTGTTATATACACCTCATTAATAGTTAAATTTACTTATTTTATGTACACCTTTTTAATGAAATAAGTCATCATAAAAAAAATAATGAAAGAAGACAATTAGTTTGAATGCTTAAATATATTTATGAAACAAGAAAAATAATTGAAACAAAAAAAAAACAAGAAAAAAAATGAAACAAGTAACAAAAATCAAGCATGTTTAAACAAGAAAAAAGAAAGAATGAAACAAGAAAAAAAAATTGAAAGAAATAATCAAACCGAAACAAGAAAAAATAAAGAATGCAATAACGAAAAAACAAAAAGAAATAAGCAAACTGAAACAAAAAGGAAAAAAATCAAACAAAGATTAAAGGAACAAACAAAATTACAAGACGCAAAATCGAAAAAAAAAAGCACCAAGCACAGATACAAAATTGAACAAGAAAAAAAATAACAATCATAGATGTAAAACCTTAATAAGATAAAAAAAAACAAATAATATGAAATTATACATATATATACACAAATGTAACTTCTAAATAAAAAATTATTAAACTTAACAAAGATATCAAAATATACCGAAAATAAAAAAAATTCATATAACAAACATGAAATCAAACATAAAATTAAATTGAGAAATAATATTAACATGTGTCTCACTAAAAAAAATCATATTGAAAAAGTATTTTTGTGAATGCGTGATAAGAGATAAATAATAAAACTCTAATTATGACAAAATGTAAAATAAGTTTACTTATGAAAAGAGGTGCATGTGGCATAAGGTGAAGTTAGTTACTAATGAGGTATGTACAGAAAGGGTGGAGTTAGTAGTTTGATAATGAAAATTAAATAGGGGTGAGAATAGTCACACTCAAGTATTTCTTACTTAAAATGTATTGTATTTAAGTACATATTGACAGATTTTAAGATTTTTCTGTGACTAAAATACCATTTTTCATATTTATTGGGTTGTTCAAATTGACAATCCCATTTTTTATGAGATTTGATTTATTATATTAAGAGTTTCTTATTTTAATATATCAGCATATTTGAATCGAAAACTTAAATCATACCAAACTGAAGTTAAAACACCTGTAGAATTAGAAACAGACGAAAAACCAAGAAAGCTCACTTGATCTGTCAAGGGCAGAGAACCCTCCAATGATTATCCTATAAGGGGGGTGTAGCAAAGAAGGGAGAAATTCCAACTAACTACCTACTAATTCCACCTAGGCGGGTTTGAGAGCTCTTTATAAGCCTAGAAGATATTGCTTTCATAGTCTTGTTACTACATATAAATGCCCTACGGAAAGAGACTTCTTCCAGGTATAGTATCTATGGGATTTAAATACATATGAATTTAAATTTTAAATGTAAATTTATATTATTATACTTCAATAGTTGATGAAATCTTTAACTTTTGATTTTCTTCTTCTACGTGAGTGTTTGTTGTTCTTTGTCAACGAAAAATACTTTATTGTTTGATTTTTTTTTTCTACATCAACGTCTGATGTTCTTCATCTGGTTGAACGTATATCGTCTACTTCACTTCAAGTTTGAATATATATATTTTTTGTTAATGTAACCAATAACCTTATTTTGAAATTGATAGTGTATGATATCTAGAGCTTGATTTTGCCATTTTTTCTCATGTTTATGTATATGATATGTGTATTCCTGTAATGTTACTATAACTATCTACATTTTTCTCTTGAAATATGCTCTTCTTATTATACTTCAGTGCAAATCAACTCATTTTTCAATGTCACAATGTGACAATCGTAGCATTTAGCCTAGTATATGAATTAGGAAATATAATTGAACGTTTATCTGTCAGAATGTAACAAATACAGTATTGTCTATTACATTTTTACATTGCGATAAAATACTTCCATTCCTTAATAGAACTGTGTTGTTACAAAGGCGAAAAAAATTTTGTCCTCTTCATTTTTTATTGTTTGTATTTTTGATTTAGTTGAAATCTCATAAATTTTATGGCTCTTTTTGTGGTAGTTTTTGTTTAAATTTCAAAACCCATGTTTTTAGTGATACATCATTTATCGGATTTAATGGTTTGGTGCATCTCCTGTTGTTTCCAAATAGAATTAGTTGTCCATGTTTTGCCGAATTTTAAGGAATTAGTTGCCCATGTTTTTAATGATATATTAGTTGTCAGCTAGTATTATTTTCTGGGTATTCTTGCCGCTTATAAAAAAAGGGACTTATGTACAATTTTTTTTTTTTTTTACTAGGCACTTTTACACAAGTAAGGGCTATATTAGGTACCCATTTTTAAAAATCCAAAATAGAATCCATTCCACACTTCTAGACCAACTGGTCCCAACTCTAGGTAAGCCCAAGATCCAGTCGGTCCGGCTCAACTCAAACCAAAATCCATACCGCAGGCCCCAGCTTCATTAACCGTTGCACGCGACCCCAAGCAAACCACCGGTCAGACCATGTGTTTCACATGGACGAAATCCAGACCAAGGACGACTGGTAGAGCTTAGCTTCTCTCGCTCTCTCTGACACACGCAGAGTTCAACAATACCTAGTTCTTGTCGACGAACCCAAATCGAATCGTGTGATCGTAGCACTTTTGTTTTCAATCTCAGTCTCACCAATGCAGGCGAATTCCAACTCTTCGTCGTCCTTAGGCGAAGACCAAAACCCTAACCCTAACCCTGACCCTAACTCAATCGATCGGTCCCTCGACGCAATCGAAGACCGGTTAGCGTCAATCTCACTGGCCCAATCCGAAACCGCGTCGTCCAATGAAGAACCATTAAAGGAGGTCGCAAATGGATCAATGAACGATAACAATCACGAGGAGAGCACGGTAGCTAAGATGGAAGAGCAGAGTCGCAGCAAGTTAGTGACGGAATCGTCCTTTGTTTTTGAGGAGGTTAAGGAGAGCTCGTCGACGGGTGGTTTTACGTGGAGGAATAATTCGGAGCTGGAAGTGGAAGAAAATGGGTCGTCGAGCCCTAGTAGTAGTGGGTATGCTGGTGGGAGAGGTAGTAGTGGTGGCACTAGTGCATCTGGGATTGAGGAGGTTGGTGAGGATGATGGTATTCGTGGTGTTGGAAACGATGATTCTATTAACGGAGTATCAGACTTGCAGGAGAACTCATGGGTGCCGGGGAAGCGACATCTCGATGAGGTGAGTCGAGATATGTTACACTGTAATTGAACTTGAGTTTCAATATTTTGAAGAGGAACAAGTATGCAGTATCATCTCCTCAATTGTTATGGGGGCCATTGTTAAACAGATTGTGATTTGCTGGACATTACACATAGATGTTGTTTTAGCTTGATTATTTTGAAGAACCAGTGTCACCATATTATGCATTTACATGACATTTGAGTTTTAATTGCATTATTATACGTGATTTATTGATGCTTTATGATGTTTGACCTTAAACTTCTTATTTACCCCACTTGTGGAGTCATACTGTTGTCCTAACATAGTGGGGTTACCATCCTGGTGTAAGGGAAACCGAAGATAGGAGCATACTTATGTGTGTGGTGAAGCACCCAATCGACAAATGAACCCAGGTTTAACTTTCAGGCCGATTTCCTGCACTTTTCTGCAAGAAAGGTGGCTGAAATTTTTTTTTTCCAGTAAATATGGCTGAATAAGCAATTCCTGTAAAGCTGTTCAGTTACTTACGAGCTATGGGATTGAAACTTAAAGCCTGATGAAAGACAGAAAGAAGGGAAATTGAATTATTCAAAGCTTAAATTTAGTCACAATAACTTTCTGTTGATATTGTCTCACAGAAGATATATATATAGTGAGATGGCTTGAGAAACCTTCCCTCTAACTTTCCTAAATTTTAAGAATTTTGAATTATTAAATTCTCTATCCGCTAATCATATTTTATCAAATGCATCCAATAACTACTCTAAATAACTACCCATAAACTCATTCTAACCATCACTTATTTAATTTTTTTTAATCAACAAATTTTGCATTCCAATAATACCTAAAATATTTTTTGCTAACTTATAAAATAATGGGAGGAAGGGAGTAAAGCGTGATGAAGAGGATTTGGAGCATAAAGAATGGATGCACGGGTCAAACTAGTCAATAGATAAAAGAATCAATCACCAAGAAACTCTTTGGTCCCCTAGGAACAACCCATCTAAGCACTTTATAAATCAATAGAAGATACTGCCATAATTAGACCCTATAAATTTGACTCAATCCTGGACTTCCCCATAAAAAAGAAAAAGAAAAAAAGAAGGAAGTTCAAACCAAATCAAATTCCAAAAACATGTAATCCGCCCTTTATGAGCTAAATTTTGCCTTCAATTTTTATTGCATCACATAGGCTGCATGGGTGGCATGTTTCCTTGTGAGCTTTATGTGTGCCTAAATTGCCCTAGCAAAAAAGTAGATTGACTTGTATTTTGGCATGAAATTGGTGTTTTGTATACAGTTGCGTGATATTTAGTTTGATGCTAACAATCATACTGGACACATAATTGGCCATGGATTGTGGATGTTCTCAGGGAGGCTCAGTCTCATTTTGTTAAATCCAAAAATCACAGAATCAGGTTAGGTCTTTTGAAGCTCAGGGAGGTTGAGCATGAGTGTTTAAATGCGTAGGTGTAGGCGTTCAAAGTTCAGATGCAATGTCAATGATTCTGGAATATTATTTGAATGATGTATCTGTCCCTAGAACCATATTTATTGTTGTGATTAATTTCCCTTCCATGATTGAAAATATAAAATCTTGATAAATAAATGATTCCAATAGGGTTTTCGTATATTTAGTAAATTAATAAATGATTTATGAATAAATGGTTCCAACAGGCTTTTCATATTTAGTAAATAATAAATGATTTCAGTGCCCTAGAGCGTGCATTTATGATACTGGCTATGTTGTCTCCTGCTTGATTAATCAATGAAGTGCAGGATGATGCTTCTATTTCTTGGAGGAAAAGGAAGAAGCACTTCTTTATTTTGAGTAACTCTGGCAAACCAATATATTCAAGGTGTGCATCTATGTTCTAAAAGCATTATAGTGCATACAATATCTATTTTTCTTTTCAGCAAAGCAAGATGGTTTGTTTTTTGTTTAGACTGTTTAGTTGCTGACACCGATTTTTGTGTAGTTTTTGTGGGTGATGTTCTCTTTTTTTCTGTTTGTTTTTATTAACATTAAGATATGGAGATGAATACAAGTTAGCAGGATTTTCGGCAACTTTGCAGGCCATCATTTCTTTTGTGGAGAACGGGTACATTGATACTGCCAGCTGTTTAGATGTTCTCTCTCCCTTTTTTTGAGCTTATTCTTTGGCTTGTATTTACTGTGACGATTACTTGCAAAGGAGTTTTAGTAATGTACTTCATTTATCTCTTTTCAGGGGAGATCGTGTCAAATTGGTGAGGGCAGGGAAACATCAGGTTGGATTACTCCCCACCCTACTCGACTTAGGTTTTTGTTTTTTTAACACTTTTTCTTTCAACTCATTCTTCCTAACAAATTGGAACTTCTTTTTTGCTTGCCTCATAAATCAAAATATTGCTATTAGTTGGTATACTTATAACTAGAGCACAACTAATGTTGGCATCAGTAGTTGTGTAAGGAAAATATAGTTACTACTTACTAGTTATTCCAAAATTTATTTTCTATTATCTGTAAGACATTGAAACTTTACTCAAAAGCTGCCGAATAGATGTCTTATTGAGTCAGATTTCTTGCAACATGCACTAGTTGTGCTTGTGTGTGCATCATGATATCATTCAGACCAGTTTGAGGTGTAACTGATTAAAGTTTATGGAGAGTTGCACTACAAGTCACACCAGATTTTTATGTTGTTCAGCAAATTCATTTGATTCTTGTCATTTAGGCAGGTTGAGTTCAAATGTAGATAATTGCTCTAGTTGCCTTATTAACAGAGTCTGTTATTTGACCAGCTTGGGGGATTTAGATAACCTTATGGTAGTATTCTACTGTCTGACCACGATCATAATTTAGGATGATTGCTTGGTCAGATTGTCTGTGCTTGGGCTATCAAACGTGAAAATGTTGTTCCAAGTCTTATGGCAGCTCCTTCTTTAAGCTGAAGGTTACCTAGTACATCAACTTCCCGCACCTTACGTTAAGGCGATCATCTTGGAGGATCGAGGATGTGGGCATGTATTAACAAAAATACACTGCAGAGCTGTTCAAGTACGGGATGAGCCCGTCTCTAATAGCCTTCCCATAACATTACTCTGCTTTGTGAATGCTGCTACCAGCTCTTGGTACCTTCCTTGAATTTTTTTGACCAAAGTTGAAAGGATATGCATACTCTTTGAATTAGATATATTGCACAGTTGTATGACACTGCAGCTGAGCATTCATCATTTCTTCACTCATGTCGTCCTGTATAGATAAGGTCACTAGTGTGACTTCCATTGGGGGATCTTATTGTGAAAGGAAATGGTGAACAGCATCTGAGCATGAATCAGGGAATTGGAAGAGGCTGTCAGCATATGTGCATTTAATCAGTCCCATTTTACACAGTAGGCAAGGTTTTTAAAATCGGATCTTACATTGGGCTGGGAACCCTTGTTTTGATTTTCATGCATTTATCAGATAGAATTGATGATGTGATCATGCAAAAACTTTAGTTCTAAATAACATGATAAATGATAAATTTGCCTTTCAGGTGGTTTTTCTTGTAAAAGGGCCAATTTACTTAGTTTGCATAAGCTGTACAGAAGAGCCTTATGAGTCCCTTAGGGGGCAGCTGGAGCTTATTTATGGTCAGGTAGCATCTGTTTCCTTTATTTTGTTACGATTATGTTGTGTCTTTCAGAAGTCTTGGTTGCTTGCCATTTTTTTCCTAATCTTCTTTCCTATAAGGGAAGCCCCATTTGACAGTTGGATGTAGTTTCTCAATCATTAATTTTGACTTGAGTGCAGATGATACTTATCCTTACAAAGTCTGTAAATAGATGTTTCGAGAAGAATCCAAAGTTTGATATGACACCTTTGCTTGGAGGAACAGATGTCGTCTTTTCTTCTCTCATCCATTCATTCAGTTGGTTTGTTTCTCTGCTCACTTTTATACTGCTCCTACTTTATTTATATTCAAAATATCCATTGAAAGTTTTGAAGAGCCTTTCTCTGATTGTACTTGCTGAATCAATGAAAGTATGATGTTGGACACTTAAACAAATGCAAAGAACAGATTGTGGTTCAATTCTGGGCTGCAAAGGAAGGCTGTGCTGTTTGCGAGTATTTCAATCTTGTTTGAATAGTAAATGAGCAGAGCTCAAGCTTGGCTTGGAGGTTCAATACATACACAGGATGAGTTTGAGCAAGCCGGAACTTGGCAAGCCAAGTCTTGCAGCAATGGCATTAGTTGTACACATAAAATTGTCACAACTTGTTCTCCTTCCATTTGAGTAGACGAGACATAAGCAAATTTGCTGCAGTTTGTCGACTTCTCCTTGTATGACGTTTAATTTGGTCACTGACCTGTACATAATAAAGTTAGTATGAATACTATGATG